AATATTTTCCTCAGAGTCCGGGGCACTTCCTGGGGGCTTGGTTCCAGTGCAACAGTGTCAGAAATATGGCCAAGACGCAGGAGACGTGAGGCGACGTGAGCCGACGTTTCGTCGGGACGTGTTCTATGGTGTTCTTTGGTGTCAATTTGGTGTGTAAGGAGCTTTAGGCACCCATTTTACACCTGATGGTTTCAGAAAGCATATCACTCAGTCTGGGGGCACTCATATCTCAGAACATGAATCCTAATGACTTTTAATCAACCTTTGATGTTTCCTATAGCACCTAAAGGTAGTTCACACTTTTGGGTGACATCAACCACTTCTAAATGTTGGTATAGACATTCAGGTTGCCATCAAGATGGATTGCATCTACTATGGTAATGCCTTAACTTTTTATCTAACTCACAAACTTAATAACATTTCCATCATCATTAAATGTAGTTTGTGTTTATTGCTAATTATCAAATGTTAACATGCTAACATTCTCAACTTAAGTGTTTTAACATTTACCTCGAAGCACCGCTGAAACCTAAGTATAGGCTTACAGAGTCATAAGCATATCTGTAGACTCCTAGTATTGTTTCATGAATCTCTACATGGGAGCTTAGCTTCTTTCAGATTAAAACATGATAATTGATGTGGATGCAAGAGTACAAAGGGTCTTAACATCTTGGCCAAGAACACTGTGCTCTTACTGTGGGAAATGTTCCCCACACCAAAACATCCTGCTAGCCTAAATCCCAATTCTCCAGATGCTTGTTGGTAACATGCAACTTGGTGACAACAACATTAGGGCTGGGAAAAAGGTTCAACGCACTACCAGAGCACTTTGATCGAGACCTCTGTTTGAAGCCATGTCTTTGATGGATGTTTGTGCACAACGATGTGAATAATGAATCTGGAAGTTGGCAAACAAAGACATACATTGACTGTGATGTGTCCCAGTGGAGTACAGATTGTTTCAGTCATTTGATTTTTAGCTTTGCTCATAAACACACTAGTATAACTTTATTAAAGCCATTTTGCAATTAGTAGATTTTGGCGTGAATGGCTATTATTCTTCTCAGTTGAAGAATTTCAAGAATTCCGTAAAGGAACAAAAGCTATGATCATTCTGTTTCTGCACCTTTACATATTAGAGTCATTTGTTTATTGCATTTAAGCATTTTTATTTTTGGTTTAACAACATCCAAGTCTCATCTGTGTTCCCAGAGGAAGAATCAGACTCATTTACAGTAATAACAATATAAGGGATGTTCCTGGAAATCTTTTGCAATCCTCTCTTTCAAATCCGTCATCAGTGAAGAAATGTTCCCAGACTCTTTGACATGCCCCGATGAATCACATGAAGTCATGTTGTGATGTTTTTGTTGTACTAAACAAAAGGGACCCTCTTGAAAAAGAGATGGTGCATCTCAAGGGGTTTATCCCAATAAATACATTTCTATATATACTAACAACAATCACTTTTTTAACTTTTTTGATTGAAAAAGTCTGCAGATAAAAAAAAGAGGAACACTCAGCACAGCCATATTAATGTCTATTTAGCCATTTGTAATGATAAGTAGAAATGTTTTTTTTATCAACTCTGAGGTGCATTCTAACTTGTCAAATGCAGTGTGATTAGTTTTTACTGGAGATTCACTGGTCTATTCTATAGAAAATTACTTACAAATAGAAATAGGACTCTTTTTTTACTATCAAGTAAGACTATGAGGTAAATGCAGGACACACTGTAAGTGATGCTCAGCATAAAGGAAAATAGCATCCAAATTACAACAAAGGAATGTTTACCACATGTCTTATCTTATATTAGGGAGCTTTTTCTGATATGTGTGCACCTGCCTGTCAGCAGCTACCAATAAGGCCCCCCTCACAGGATCTATTATTTGTGACCATGTAAATTGGATATACATCACTGTAAAACATTTGAAACACAGACTCAAATCAGCAATTAATGTGTTTTCTTGTTGGCAAAGATTCTAAATACGGACTTGGGTCACAAAGCAGTTTACCAGAATAATGGAGTCATCATTTCTACAAATATTTTTTTTTTAAATGTGCGTTTATAATAAACAAACCGACTACAAATTAGAGTCAAGTTACACTTTAGGCCAGTAAAATGACATGCCGTTAAAAGTTTTACAAGACTGAACTTCGATCCTTATACATCCAAATAATGTGTGAACTTTGTTTTCCTTTTTTTTTGGTTACCCTTTGTTTACAATTGGATCATAAATTGTGACTTTAAGACATGAAATGCAATAAAGCTTTGAAGATAAATAATTTGAAATGGTGTTTAATGGTTATATAAAACGTTAAAACGTTTTTTATGGTGTATTAGACAGAGGCATGTGTGAGTGAAAACACAGGTCATAAGAGTAAAACTCGTAAAAAGACATCTGGAATACCACTTCAAACTGTGTTAAGTGAATGTGATGTATACAGTAAATTAGTCGCTAAGACTTGTGGTATTTATATCTTCCACTGTGTTGGTGTAGACTGACTATCATCAGAGTTATGTTATTTCAGATGTTATAAACTGGTGAGTGTGTGTTATGCAGTTTTATGAAAGCAGATGAGATATTGTGTCATTTGTCTTTTTTGGTCCATTCTTCCTTTATTCTCTGTAGCCTATAACCTACTAATAATAAAACATTGTTTTACAAAGGTTGTCTTTCATAGGTTTTTGTGTTTTTTGCACCTTCCAGTGGTTGAAAGCTGAATTTCATACTTCTCTTAAGCAAGGAAGTAACTTGTTTTTATCTGGTTTCTGCACAGTTTTATGAAGAGTTATTTTAAAGAGCCTCTGATTGTGTCTCTCACCTGGGGCAATAAACTGACACAGAGATAAGCACGCTCTTTTGAACTCTTTTCAAGCCTTGTAAAATAATCTTTATTAACAGCAAACCTAGATATGGGTAGGTTTGTTGAGTACGTGTCTGTTATAAACGCCTAGAGAAACCCTTGCTTAAGGTGGATACTTTTTAAGTATAAGGTAGGAAACTGTACTTGAAGAAACAATATGTGTGAAATATTGCACTTAATTAATACAGTATTTTGAGGGAAAATAAAACTAAAAACTAAAGTATCAATAAAATAGGAAAACCCAACTGGCAAATATCCCTGTCAAAATACAATGATTCTCATCAGAAAGATCATACATTTGGTCAAATAGAGGAAGGATTAATCAAATACAGTATGATAAGAAAGGCTTAAAAGAAAGTAATTAAGGAACAATGGTGCTAATATGCTTTACATATGTTCTTCCTGTTATTATTCCAAATATTTTGATGCAAACACGATGAAAGATGAGATAATGTTGGTATGGTCAGTGACTGGAAATAAATAAATAGGGTATGGTCATGTGTTTTAAGCATGTTAGGGGGCAAAATAAGGTGAAATGCATTGGGTCAAAGTCCTCTGACTGAGTGGAACTTCAGATCTGTGAAGCATCTTATCGTGAGCCATCAACTGATTAGGTAACACTCAATGTAATAATATCAGTTTTTATTTGAAATAGACCGAATACCAGAAATACATTTGTCAAGACCATCAATGAGACAGATGGCATGATCTAAAGACGTGTGTGTGTGTGTGTGTGTGTGTGTGTGTGTGTGTGTGTGTGTGTGTGTGTGTGTGTGTGTGCGTGCGTGTGTGTGTGTGTGTGTGTGTGTGTGTGTGTGTGTGTGTGTGTGTCTGTCTGTGCGTTTGTGCGTGTGTGCGTGTGTGTGTGTGTGTGTGTGTGTGTGTGTGTGTCTGCGTGTGTGTTTGTGTGTTTGTGTGTGTGTGTGTGCGTGTGTGTGTGTGGTGTGTGTGTGTGTGTGTGTGTGTGTGTCTGTGTCTGTGTGTGTGTGTCTGTGTCTGTGTGTGTGTGTGTGTGTGTGTGTGTGCGTGTGTGTGTGTGTGTGTGGTGTGTGTGTGTGTGCGTGTGTGTGTGTGCGTGTGTGTGTGTGTGTGTGTGTGTGTGTGTGTGTGTGTGTGTGTGTGTGTGTGTGTGTGTGTGTGTGTGTGTGTGTGTCACAGTCACAGACATGATGATGAGGGCATGTCTGGGGGCCCACATCTGTCGACATTTTCCATCTGCCAGTCTGACTCTGGTTGCGTTTAATCAACCCCTGACAAAAACCACAACTGCCTTTTCTGGGAAGCCAAATAAGCAGAGGCAAATATTGTTTCTGAAAATTCGTAGCATTTTTTTGATAGGCTACGGTAATGTGATGCATGGATTTATTAGGGGTCAGAGCAACGAAGGAAGATCATAAAGAACTGATGTTATTGTAGGCCTGCACTCAGTAGGATGTAGTATATTTGAAATGGTCGAAACTTCCTGGCACATTGCATCGCTCTATTATGGCATCCCAATATGATCATAAGAAATACACCAAGAAGTAGGCTACTATTTAGCTGCCACCCTCAACAATCTTGCACAAAGTTCAGTTAGTAGTATTCCTAATTAATAAAGTAGGCCATAAACTTAAAAGAGAACAAAGTATTTCCATTATAAAATATTAGATAAATGAATGGAAACACTGATAAAACAGCTGATTGAAGGATTAGTTGATCGTGGATGATGTGATATGTTTTTTAGCTCTTCAAGGTTCAAGGTTCAAGGTTCTTTATTGTCAATCTGACATAGCTACAGAGTAATTATGCAGTTGAAAATCTTATGTCACAGGCTTCTCCAACAATGCAACATAATAACATAACATAATAACAATAAGAGCATGAGCAATACAAAAATAATAATAGTTATAAAAATGAAATAAAGTTATGATGTGGAATAGTGCAGTATGAGTCTATATACAAGTTATTGGAATGATATATATATATTAGGTATTAGATACATACTACTGAGTAGCAGATGAATGTTTGATGTTGTTTCAACAGTTCAATTTTTTAACAGTCTCACTGCCCGCGGGAAGAAACTGTCTTCAAAAAGGACCACTGTAATCTACTGCTCTAAACTCCCAGCCAGATGGTGGCAGTCTTACGCACACCATTCAGATTGCATGCCGCCAGTGAAGTAAGGAAATGGCAGAAGAAGAAGCCGGAACCTAAGTCGTTTTTAGAACAAATGTTTCCGGACGACGTTATTTTGAGTGAAAACTCGTGGACAATTTGGTGTATTCGCGCTCTAAAAACATCATTCACTTCTTCGGCTTTATCGTTTAAAGCACAATGGCTGCCACAGGTCAGTGTTAGATGTATATTATATATTTACATAGATGTATAACTTAAGTAGTTTAGTCTGCCAAGCTAATGGATGTAGCTAATTGTAACAACATTGTTTAACATAGTCGTGCTAACCTTAAGGTTAGCCTAAAGCTAACAAAACAGACATTTAATAAATGTAATATGTCTAATTCCCATCCAACGAGTAACCTTTTTGCATATAGGGGTTACTTTATATCTGCATTGTTACACGTCAACAAGCTGTGCTAACTTTGCTATAATGTACAACTTGGTGCAATCGTTGATAAAAAAAATAAAATAATTTTCGCAGTATAAATATTGAGCAAAACTCCAAGTGCGTATGTTGTATTAGGAATTAACGAAGAGCCATTCAACGTCACATCGTTTTAAATTCACTTAACATATCGCCTTTCTTACAGATGTTATTGTCTTGTTATTGGACATTTACGTGTGCGTGTAGCTTGAGTTAGCACTTAATAACTTCGATCACTAATACACTTTAATTACTGATCTTCACACAGGCCCTAATAAGGACAACATCAGAGCTGGGTGCAAGAAATGTGGATATCGTAAGTAAAGCTTTTACACACAAATTCCATTATACAATACAAAAAGCTTTTGTGTGAATATTGTAGTAGTTTTATTCAGTCCAGGTAAATGTGCAATAGGCTTGTTAGAGTCAAAGTAGAGTTATATTCACTAATTCATTTGTTCCTGTTGCAGTGTCACATTTAATAAGTGGACATTTTTAAACGACAGCTAAATATACATCTTTTTAGATTAGCTTTTTATTAGCAACCCCCCACTTTAAATGTTATTTTAGTCTTTATTATTTACCTACCTTTATATTGTTTTATATATTGTATAGGTTTTAATCTTTTCATTTGTATTTCTGTTGTATACCTATATGTTCACTTTGTTTTATATAATATTTTATATTGTTGCATCGACTCAGTTGTCTTGTGTCTTATCTGTCTGAGAGAAACCATTATGTATTTTTTATTTTTTTATTATCAGAACATTTTATAATTAAAAGTACCTCCTTGTGTCTATTAACCTGATAACATGTTATATTTTGCTGCATGTGCCTTTTAAAGTTGTTAACAAATAATCTGAGGGGAACTTCTTGTTTGTTTTGAACTTGTGATGAGTCATTTTGTAAAGCACTTTGAGCTGCACGTGTTGTATGAAAGGTGCTATATAAATAAAGCTTTATTATTATAAAATATAAGCAATACAATAATCCTGATGTTATTTTCATGGTTCTTCATCTATTCTCTCTTGCATGCATTTTTCAGCGGGCCATTTGACTTTTGAATGCCGAAACTTTGTCAGAGTCGACCCCCAGAAAGACATTGTTCTGGATGTGAGCAGCACCAGCAGCGAAGAGGAGAGTGAAGACGATGTTCCTGTTCAGCGCACTGAGAAGCTTGGGCGCAGCAAAGGTACCAATCTAGGTTTTTCACACAGTCGGTTATGTAATAAAAAAACGACAATACTATGAATTTGATTGTATCTATGTCTTTAAGAAACTATGGGAAAGAGTAAAACCAATATGCAGTCTTACACAAAGGTGTTCTTGGGGCTTGATGTATAAAGTTTAGGGATGCTCCGATCGCCAATTTTGGGGCCGATCGCCGGAATCAGTATCGGCCGATCGCCGGAATCAGTATCGGCCGATCCGATCGAGTGGGTGGGGGGGGGGGCTATGGGGATCCATTTAAAGTGATGTTTAAAACTCAGTTAATGGGGCTCATTCACTGGCGCTTCCACAAACAACAACCAACATAATTATTACATTGAAATTAAGTACATTATTCAAGTTTACATTAACTTTGGATAATAACACGGGAGAAATTAGCGGAAGCGCTCTCTTTTCCTCTCCCCCTCTCTCCTGACAGCCTGTCAGTATCGTCTCATGCAGCTCACTGATCCAGTAATGAGTGACACGACAGTGAAGAATAAACATGTATAACTAGTTTAGCTTGTTCCAGAGGTAGATAAAATAGCTAAGTGTGTTAGCGCTAACTCTTAGTGTATGTTTTGCTATGCTCACCGGTCTCCGTCACAGCGGGTGGAGCTGCAGGATTTCTGCTTCACACACGTTGCATACCGCTATTTTATTGTCATTTTCGGACACCTTAAAATACTGCCAGACCGGTGAAGCCATTTTGGCGAGCTTGTTTTGCAGAGAAAAGTGTCATGTAATTTACGTCATATGATCGGCTCTCCTGATCGGCCTTTATAGAGAGCACCGATCGATCGGCAGAGAGTGAATATCGGTCGATCGATCGGAGCATCCCTAATAAACATCAGTGGGTATGGGATACTGGGTCTTCTGCTTACTTATCATATTGATTTTGGTGACAGTACGTGAATGAGTTGAAGTGGTTAAAGTCTCAATCTTGGTATGATTAGATCATTTCCCCAGATTTTCCAGATGTCTTGCACGCCTTTATGAAAAGCTTTTATTCCAGTAGAAATTGCATTAACCATTTTGTCTCCAAATGTGTGTAGGTTCCCATGATGACAGCAAAGATGGTAGAAAAGCAAGACACAAACTGAAGAAGAGCAGCGACCGAAAGTCAAGAAAGAGGTAACTTTGAATGTCCACACTGACCCTAAAAATCACTGTTAAATACTTGTTTGGTTTGTTGTTGTTGATTGTTGTAGAGTAGGCCATCAGACTTTGAAGCTATTTTAACTTTTATAAAGTCTGCATTCATTTACCTCTTTTTTTCTTTCTGGTGATGAGTTGTGTATTTATGCATCAGTGAAATAAGCCATCAATAAGATGTCATTTTTAACACTGTTCAGAAATCTGAGATGCTTTCATACTAATTGCTCATTTTCATTAGTTAACATTGTCATTTTTTATACTTTTCCACAAGATCAAACTCTTCGAGTGATGACGCAACAAAGAAAAAGAAGAAACGCAGTACTTCCTACTCCTCATCTGATGAAGAGCAAAGTGGAAAGAAAAAGAAAGTGAAAAGCCAGAAGAAGAAAAGCAAGAAGAGCAAAAAGGAACATGGGAAAAGTAAAAAGAAACAGAAGAAGAGGAAAGAAGCATCATCCTCCTCTTCTTCTTCTAGTGAATCCTCTGACACTGACTGAGGCAGCTGAACTGTGCGGTGTCTGGAGGTTCAGCTAAAAAGTTCTTCAGTCCACAAAAAGGGTTCTTTGCTGACATTTTGTAAATGCACCTAATCTTGTTAAATACAGTGGCAAGTATTTAAATGATTAGTTAGAGACTGGAATTGTTTTGGGTTCTCTGAAGCATTTTGGAGAACATGTAGAAACCCAAAGGACCATGTTTTTATACAGTGTTTCCTTGTCCTTCCTCTGTCAGACTTCATTGACAGTGACAAGCGTTAAAAGAAATCTTAAAGCAACACACTGTACAGTCTTCTGTGATTTATATTACTGAACATTTTTGGTTATCAAGTCCTATTAAGAGGAAAATGCTGGGATACCTTTAGTAAAAACTTTCTGGATGATGTCCTTTAGTTTTCTTTTCTGTTACACACTTTTTTGCTTTTGGAAATTGTACCAAAACATTTTTAAAGTCAGGTGTGAATGCCAAACCTGATTTGACATGATTCAAATGGCTATGGGTAAAAATGACGTGAACTCAGTTTAAACAATAATCATTCAATTCATTTTTTTGTCACCAGCAGTTGAATCCCTGCCCAACATCACAGATGAAAAATAGTTTTATTTGTCTAGTGTATAATTGCTGAAAAGTTCATTACTGTACGTTTTCTTCGGTGACTGCATAGAACAATAAAACTCTTGGAAGTTGTTGGTTGTAAAAATAATGACTTCCAAAGTTATTTCCAAAAACATTGATGTGTGTGGACTTTGGGAACTGTCCTTAACTGAACTTTTTTTATGCAGCTTTATTTCCTGTAAAACAATGACAAATGTGGTTCTCCCTATTAAGTGTATTTCTTTTTTGTAATAAAAATATATATGGTTGTATCTCTACCGTTATTAACGGTAAATTATTATTATTATTATTATTAAACTATATAGTTACATTTCGCCATCGTCCATGGTTAAGGAGCAGATCGAGTTCTTATTTCCTGCAGAGGGCAGCAACATACCTTCTATTGGGAAGAAGGACAATGATCAAAAATAATCATTATACTGTAAAACACGGGAAAAAAACTGTTGTGGCTTTGTACATTTAACATATATTTCAGCATTTTATAATTTAATGACTACAAAATGATGTCAGTTATTTATCACAACTCATTCAGCTCATTTAATACAGTTCTTCAAGAAAGGAGATACACTGGAATTTAAACGGCAGAAAATGTCTAAGCTAGTCTTTTAACTTATTTTCTAATGTTATACAAAAGAATATTGTCTGACAGAAAACCCCACAATAACTCACAGCAAGCATCTCTCTTTACTCCACCTAGTGGTCATGGTGTTAATATTCAGAGACTGAATCCTACATTACTTACTGATTTCCCCCGATCTTTATGAAAACACAGAAGCTGCTGATGGTGGCTATGGCACCTTAAATCTCACTTACAGTAAATGTTGGGGGAGGGGGATGTTTGATGAGAACCGCCTGTTATAAGTAGCCTATAACTTCACGTGAGATCCGAACCAAGTATGCTTTATAGCCTGTATAACATATTTCCCTACCCACACAGATATGTAAAAAAGTCAACACGGACAGGCAGGTGCAGGTAACCCTTATGAGTCATCAATTTACATTAATTATTGCTTCCCTCCAGGCTCTCAGTATCACCGCAAAGACATGAAACTGCATAAAGAGCCACATATATTACAAACCAAGAATCTTTGGAAGCCGTTGTGTTTGATTCAATCGTGGCTGTGTAACAGATGTTTATACCCTCGCCATTAATTTAATGGGAAGAGGATATCTGTTTAAACATCTGCAACAAACTGAAAGCTACGTGCATGCTTGCTTATCAGAGCCTGGAATTATGACAGAAATATGTCCCGCTCCTTTATCCTTTTGAGGTCCAGAGGGCAGATTCATCAAATACACATCAAAACTAAACTGCTCCTGACAGCTTAGGTAGGGAACGATTCTGGGAATTGGGACAGTGCGATTTCTGATTCCTGTTGTAGAGGATGGCATTTATTACACACCTCAAGCCCATGTTTTCACTCACGTTTGGAAAGGAAGGAAAACCTCCACAGGAATCTGGAGAGAATCTCATTAGGTTGCATCTACAGACATAAACCTCTTCTATAAAGCATGTTACAAAGAAACAAACAGTGAGATCACACAGCAATCCAGAGCAATTATTAGTAAGCACCAAAGGTACATTTAAATCAGGCATAACAATAAAACAAGAGGATCACTAGGCCTATAATAAAAAGGCCTAAAGCTAGAAATACCAGTACAATTATGCACCTATTGTTCAACACATTAATGCTTCGTATGCTTATGAATACAGCTGATGAAGGCTTTAGTGAAGTGTTACAAAAGAAACTTGGAGATAGAGAAACTTCATAATTGCCCAGATGGTAAGAGGACAACACAATACAGAGGAGCAAATGAAGTCGAAGGAGTGCTGCCATGTGCAGCCACACTAACAAACCATATGCTGTTTGTGTAAAACAACAACTAGATTTCTCTCTTTTCATCACCTCATTGGCTTTTATTGGGCCTGTTGGGCTGTAGGAAAACGGCAAGTAAATGGGACTCCACTGAGCCATTTAAATTAAAATGAGATGGTCAATGTCATCTTCTAGAGAGTTTAACTGCAGGAGAACAGCAAGTCAGCCTCCATGTAAACATCTTTTAGGCACTGAATTCAAACTAAGTCGAAATCCTCTTCGAAAAATAGCTGACCAGAATGACCCCATTGGGGTAAATGATCTCCATTTGCATAAGGTGTTTTTTTTAATTTGTTTCTATAACTTTAGTTGCTCAGTTTCAGCATTCTATGTGCAGCCTGGTATCCTCTGTGCTGGTGTCTGTTTTTAACCTTTTCTGGGCATTTCAGCACACATGCTCTTTTTTTTCCAGCAACGCCCTGCTTCTCATTCACACACTTACATTCATTCAACCTGGGAGCGGCCCAGTACAACCACAGTCTCCTGCTGAAGCTCTGCTGGAGATACAGTTAAATGCTTGGCTCAATCGCACCTCAGTGGTATATCTGTTGGAGGATTCAGCCAGGGAATTCAAACCTGCAACCTTTTGGTTATGAGCCTGCTTCTCTTAACCTTAAGGCCACCACCTCTACACAGCCCTAACCCTAAGCATAACATCTTCCCAGAAATAAAATCAAAATCCCTTATGCTGCACTTTGGTGGGAACAACCCAAGCTGAGAGATGGCGCCGGTTTTGCGTCTGTAACCACTGTTGAAATATTATTTCAGAGGCAAGCCGTCCCCGCATCTTGGAGCACGGTGAGCAGAACACTTGAAAAACGCATTAGGGCCAAGGGGCAAGTTGGAGGCTATACATTTGCTACCAATTTAGTTCCTGCATCTTAGATTGTGTGCTTCTCTTCCTTTGCTGGCCCAGAAAGCAGGCCTAATGTCGTAAATGACCTCTAGGATAAATAGACAGCAGGCTACATGACCCCAGCCATCAGAATCGGAGGCTGTAATAAATACTGCATCGCTTTACAGGAAGCGTGTTCGACATTCTCACAAAACCTGCAGGGAAAGAAAAAGAGGGGGCGAACGGGGTGAGTCTCTGTTCACCGCTCTCTCTTTGGTCAGAACCTTTTTTCCTGAGGTCTGTTATTACCGGCCTGGGTTCCCATTTAGAGTGGAGCTTGTTCATATAAACCTTGAGGTTTTGAGGCATCGCTGGACTGACTGGGTGGCTTTCACCAGGGAATTAGCACAGGGTCGCATTGGATCACGATCAGTAGGCCCTCTACGGCTAACCTGTGTTGGACCAGGCTGCCTGTGGAGGTGGTGGTGGTGAGGACAAGTTTCCTGGCTCTGGAATATGGGTCAGTCAGAATCCAGGGTGTGTAGACCTCAATTCTGTAAATCATGGATCCTCCTGATGCTTTTCTACTTACTGTATCATTTCTAAATCATATTAATCACCATTTTCTCAAATGTGTGTCAAATATATTCAGTACATCCACATACTGTGCAATATGAAAACATTTGTTGAAGTCACTTATGACTTGACAAATTGCATTAATAGTGTACCAATATAATATGATTTTATACCTCAATTACATTCGGCAAGAAAGCACAGTGACGTAGATGATTTTGATGTCATTGATGTTTTCTTTAATTGCAAATTCTTCCTTAAAAATACACTTAAGGGATTAAGCTGAAAGAGATGGTGGCCTTTGAAACAGCTTTATGTACCATTAAATGTTTTTTTCTTAATTGCTTCTTTAAGCGCCACATAAACTTTCTGTTGAGCTCACACTTCTTTATTATGGTATTATAAGTTATGTACTGGGTCATCATTTTGGCAAAAAAGTTAAACCCAACGCCATATCGCACCCTGCTGTTTATTGTTGCCAGGAGCCAGGAATTTATTTTATAATGTTGCTAAATATATCCATGACTATAATGTGTATTGCAGTCTGAACTAAATGGATTTTATTTGATTTCTTTTCATGCAATGAATTTGTCTTCACCTTCCATCTTTCATGGCAGGTATTGTTTTCACCCTAGTATCATATTTAGAACACCATCAATTGTGGTGCAGGTGCACACCATCCATGGCAATCTTGCTACCTATAGTTGCACTCCTAAGCAGCTCAGCTCAGAAGACCCCAGTGTTGACTTTCTCCTTTTTCAGACCCAATCCACCTGTCCCACTGAGCTCCAGAAGGTGGCAGGATTGGCACTGCAGACAACGCAGCAGCAGAAAAAAAGAATTCCCACCCACCCAACAGCTTCAGCACCACAGCGCCTTTCCTCTCCACTCCTTGAATGACGATAGACTTTTTACATGTCCTTAACATCAGACACATGTGGCTTTTTCAAAGACAAACGACATGGTGTCATCTCTGTGCTGGGGAACATCTGCTCACTTTACTCTGGTTTTAGTGTTCTTTCCACTCCACATTTATTTGGAAAGTGTCGTGTGCCTTTGCTTTGTTCTGTGGGGGGTTGCTGTCCCTTTGTCTGAAAGAGACATCAAACAGGGCCAGAGGGGCACACGATGGTTGGAATATGAACAAAATTGTTATTTTTTGTCCTCTTACATCGTCCTCGCCTTGGCTCTCTTTTTATTGTTTTCTTTTGACGGAAAACTTAATCATAAGACAGAAGAAAAAAGATACTTGGACTTAATGACCTGGACATGTCATCACTTTTTTTGACAGATGTTTACAAATGTTTTCACAGTCTGTTGGTTGCTTCAAGAGATGGCACAGGTGTTTTGTGTTAACAGACACATACAATCTGTCAAAAAGGTTTTTTGTTTTAACTATAGATACATTATATATTTGTCCCAAGCATGTTATGGTATAGGTTTTTAGTTTCTGTTGTTGACAGTCAAGCTTAGTTATACTACTTACAATTTTGTTTGTAATACCTGTTCCTTCTTGGGTTACAAAAAATGAAAACAATTGACCTTTTTTTAATTGAATTGAAAGAGATCATTATATATTATATACATTATATACACAGTATATATGCATATTTTTAGGAGGTCAAGGGATCACATTAGGGTAAAAGAATGAAAATCCACAGAAAAATACCCTCTGGTGGTTTTGAATGTTAATTCCTAGCATTCAGCTGCTGAGGGGTAAATGAAGAAAGCAATAGTGAGGAAGAAATATACAAAAATAATCAATTTAGTCTTTATTGCCTTTTGAAAAGTCTACCTCACAAAACATTCAAACTCTTAATGATAGCAAATAATGCCTTTGCTGTGGCTAAGAGAAATATTCATAACAATGACCTGAAGGTAAAGGGCATTGCGATATGTATACCACGTGGAGCAGCGTTTTATGATCTGCTATACCGAATTGTTTCTTCTAAAGTATGGTATCTGACCCATA